TGGAAACTTCACACTGGACTTCAAGCATCTTACAGTGAGTGCCGCTCCATTCTTCCTCCAGACTCTGGGTCCTTGGTTTCCATTTGAGATGCAAAGGTTGCTCTCATCAGAAAAGAGGACTTTGGACCACTGAGCAACAGACCAGGTCTGTTTTTCTTTAGCCCAGGTAAGACGCTTCTGACGTTGTTTGTTGTTCAGGAGCAGCTTGACAAGAGGAATATGACATCTGAAGCCCATGTCCAGGAGCCGTCTGTGTGTGGTGGTTCTTGATGCACTGACTCCAGCCTCAGTCCACTCATTGTGGAAGTCCCCAACACTTTTGAATGGCCTTTTCCTGACAATCCTCTCCAGGCTGTGGTCATCCCTGCTGCTTGTGCACCTTTTTCTTCCACACTTTTCCCTTCCACATAACTTTCTATTAATGTGCTTTGATACAGCACTTTGGGAACATCCAACTTCCTTCGCAATTACCTTTTGAGGCTTTCCCTCCTTACGGAGGGTGTCAATGATGGTTTTCTGCACAACTGTCAGGTCAGCAGTCTTCCCCATGATTGTGATTCCTACTGAACCAGACTGAGAGACCATTTAAAGGCTCAGAAACCCTTTGCAGGTGTTATGGCTTACTTAGCTGATTAGAGTGGGACACTGTGAGCCTAGAATATTGCACCTTTTCACAATATTCTAATTTACTGAGATTGTGGATTTGGGGTTTTCATGAGCTGTAAGCCATAATCATTGCACTTATGACAAATCACGGCTTGAACTATCTTGCTTTGCATGTAATGCGTCTATCTCATATATTAGTTTCCCCTTTTACGTTGCATTACTGAAATAAATAAACTTTTGCACGATATTCTAATTTTTCGACTATCACCTGTATGTGTGATGATGCAAAATTGGTACGGTGATCAGAGTAATCCTTGAATGGACAGTTGTGGTATAAGATTACTGTGATGGTCTCTTACACAGCCTAAACTCCAAGTATAGGAATAGGGCTAGTGTTAAAAGTATTGTTAGTGAGTTGTTTGTACCGTTATGGTTTAGGATTATATAAATGTTGGTATATGAGTTAGGGCTAAAACCAAGGTTAGAATTAGGGTTACATTTAAAGGAACAGTGTGGGTACCAGATCAACTTCATTGAAATTAAGTTGTCATGGTACTGGAAGATCACTGGAACTTACTTAGGGGCAGTGGCGTCGCTGGGGGGGGCAGAGGGGGCCAGGGCCCCCCTACATCATGCTGTGCCCCCCCTTGTGCCACCGCAAATGGCAACTTGCTGGCCATGTTCTTAAATTCTATTCTAGTCTGTTACAGCCCGAGGGAATGAAGTGCTGGGTATTGTCTGTGGAGAGATGCTGTGGCACTGACAAGCTACCCGGCACAGGCCCCACCCCCTGCTGTAACCGCGGCTGGTTCCCTTATTTACCACTATAATGTCTTAAAGCATAGAGCTTAGTAGGGCTAACCATACAGATATCTTAGCCATAATTTCATATAGTTAGTGTAAGAGATCCTCTATTTAACATATATAAATAATTGAGAATACAATACAAAATAAGGATTGTCTTGGAAGCAATAAAGTTTTGTCTTTTTAGATATTTATTATATAAAATTATAAATATAGACATATAAAATCCATTATAGCAGAGTTTATAAGATTAAACAAAATGCTTGCAAATATCATTAATAGGTTAATATACCCTTCTGAACATGTCATCATGTCAGCCTCTCTGTCATTTTAAGATGGAGCAGCGTCTGTCTCCAAGTCTCTCCTCTGTGTCTTAACATTTTAAAAGTACACCTATTTATACCTTCGGTGTCTCCATTTTAGGGTTACCGTAGTTCATATATGAAAAAGTAACACTTCTTTTACTTTATTCATTTTAGGACCTCACTTAACTTGGCAAACATACAAGGCCATTACTAAAGGGTGCATACGTCATGGAAATTTTCCTGACTTAGTTCAAGATGGCATCTTAAAGTCTGAACATCCTTATCTACTAAGGCTACCACAGTATATTACGTACTGAAAGAGTCATAGCATAGCCTTGAAGTTTGTTTAGGCATTATTGTTATTGTTATTCGTCTGGGACAAAATGGCGTAAACATAATATGCACTGAGGTTATTGCTTAAAGAAACATCTATGAAAAACAATATGTTCCATTTCTAACACCTTGTCAGTTTGCAATATCTCTTAAAGACAAAGTACACAGTTTAAGAAATACAATGTAGCGGATGGTACTGTGGCTGTCCTTAAAGACTATGAGAATCCTGCAATTCGTGTGTTGTTTCTGCTTTGTATTTAATTGTAAGTAGCATTCGTATGATTGTTCGGTAGTTTCCATCTGTATTTCATACGAATGGAAACTACCGAACTAATAGACCACCCCAGAGTGAAGTGTGTCCCTCGTTAAGCTGCAAAGTACTTGCTAACCGCAGACTAATAGGTGATTTATGGATGTATCTGGGTGGCCACCATTCGGCATGCGAACACGTGGCTGCGGCCATCTTATGCATGAAAGGCTCAGCGGTGTTTGGTCGTCGAGTGTCTGGAACTCAAATCGGACACTCGATTACCCAAACACTGCTGACACCTCCAGAGCTCCATAACTCAAAAAACGGGAAGACGAATCAGCCGCCCGTTCGGTGAGTTTAGAGTACCGAATGAGGGAAGTCATGCGAACGTAACTGTATTAGTAGATTGCAGGTTTTTATGTGTCTTTTACCTCCCGAACGTAGACCGACCGCAGGGCCAAAATGCATGGAACCCTTTTCGAATACCACCTCGTGTGTGGTCGGTCAAATTTCACCCTCCACCTAACTCCCGAACCCCTGGTCTGATCTGGGTGAATTTTGGATATGTAGGTCACCCAGATCAGGGCTACCAGGGGATACCCAAAGTATTGGTGTACCTGCTAATCTTGGGGTACATCCAGATCTTGGGGAAAACTATAACCTGTATAATGGGATTAGGTGTCATACTAAGGGGAGGAGATGTGTGGTAGGTAACTGCTATTCCATTGGGTACTGTCTTAATGAATGTGAATCCCTCCCTTGCATGGGAGAAATGCTTAAAAGGAGGTTGTGTGGAATAAATGTTAGTTCTGCTCCTGATGCTGTGTGTCGTCCAGTCATTGGGATCTGTATGGGGATATTCTTGGATTACTTTGCTTGCTGGAATTATTACTTTATGGGATTTTTCATCACTTGTTCCTGAGCCTCACTGGGATCCTAGTGGAGTTAACCTGTGAAATACCAGGCCTCCGCTACACCCAACATTTCATTCTAAAACTTGTAATATTTGCATTTGCCCATAACACCGCACATAAGCCCCGCTGTTAAGCAGCAGCCCTTGCTGCTGTTGGGAAGGCCAGAAGATGGCTGTCTGACTGCCCAGCAACAGCCTCCAGTGACAGTTAGGCTTTAAATGCTTGTGTGTGTGTCTGCTAGTGAGGCAGCTTGTATGTGTGTGTGTGTGTATGGACTCAGCAGTCTGTGTGTGTGTGGACTCAGCAGTCTGTGTGTGTATGGACTCAGCAGTCTGTATGTATGGACTCAGCAGTCTGTGTGTGTGTGTGTGTGTATGGACTCAGCAGTCTGTGTCTGTGTGTGTGGTCTGTGTGTGTATGGACTCAGCAGTCTGTGTGTCTGTATGGACTCAGCAGTCTGTGTGTGTATGGACTCAGCAGTCTGTCTGTGTGTCTATGTGTGTGTGTATGGACTCACTGTGTCATGGACTTGGTCTGTGTGTCTGTGTGTGTGTGTATGGACTCAGCAGTCTGTATGTCTGTGTGTGTATGGACTCTGCAGTCTCTTTGTGTGTGTGTGTGTGTGTGTGTATGGACTCAGCAGTCTGTATGTGTGTATGGACTCAGCAGTCAGTGTGTGTGTCTGTGTGTGTGGATGGACTCAGCAGTCTGTGTGTGTGTATTGACTTCGCAGCCTGTGTGTCTGTGTGTGTGTGTGTGTGTGTATGGATTCAGGAGTCTGTGTGTGTATGTGTGTGTGGACTCAGCAGTCTGTGTGTGTGTGCGTGTATGGACTCAGTCTGTGTGTATGGACTCAGCAGTCTCTGTGTCTGTGTGTGTGTGGTATATGACTCAGCAGTCTGTGTGTATGGACTATGTGCACTCAGTGAGCTCTGTGTTGTGTGCTGGTACTCATGCTCAGTCTGTATCGTGTGATAGTGTGTGTATAGTGCTGTGTCTTGTATGCAGACGCACTGAGAGTATTATCTGACTGCCCTGTGTGCTGTGTATGGTCTCAGCAGTCAGTGTGATTGTGTCAGGTGGGTGTGTATGGCAGCGTCCCAAACTGCGGTGAATGGCATGGTCTCCTAGTCTGTCCATGGCCCTCCATGTGTGTGTTTGTGTGTGTAAAAATGAAGTGTGTGTGTGTGATGCCAGCTGGTTCTCAGCAGTCTGTGTTTGTGTCTGTGTATGGACTCAGCAGTCTGTGTTTGTGTCTGTGTATGGACTAGTCTGTGTTTGTGTCTGTATGGACTCAGCAGTTTGTGTCTGTGTATGGACTCCTAGTCTGTGTTTGTGTCTATGTGTGTGTATGACTCAGCAGTCTGTGTGTGTGTCTATGTGTGTGTATGGATTGTTGTTGTGTAGGAACCCACCCTTCTTATTAGCACATATCTGAACTGTTTTACCTGAGCCTGGCTCTGTAGTAAGCCTTAGAGTGCGTGGAAGTACCCTCGAGTGCCATGCATGACACTCAGTGCCGTAGGTATGCCTTCCCAATGGTCTAATTCATAATCACTAAGTATAAGTAAGTAAGACAGATCCTATAGGGTAATAACCAAAGCTTATAGCCACAGTGTGTTACTTGTAGGATTAAACATAACGGTCTCCCTACAGGAGATAAAGTGTAAAAGTCAGATCTGTAACACTGTACAAATGAACCTAGTGATGAGACTCCCTATACCCAGGGGGGATAGGGACAATGTGACAAAAAAGATATAACGAATAATATAAAGCTAAAATGGATACGTCAGTTTGAAATGGTGCCATCTACTAGATAACCTTGATAGGTTGATGCCTAGTCTGTGCCTTCGAGATAACAAACATCTCTTACTTTCATCTTTAAACTCTATTGTTCCTAATGGCAAAAAATCATCACACTCCAGTATCGACGCGGATTTTCAGAGCCAATATTTGGCAGAATGCATGTCAGACAGTTATTATGGGGCCACCTTCTTAATTTAGGGAAAACTAGTCTTGCCTTCATCAGTAGGATAGAATGGTGCAATGTTCTGTAAAATACTCAAAAGAAGAAATTCACCTGGTATGGAAGGTGGTATACCATAAGGGGTGCCAACCAAGACTGCTTCATTAAGCTAAAGTTTTTTGGGGGACTATAGTGTCCCTTTAAGGTCTGAACAATTACAACAGTTGGTGTATTAACACATTAGGTTTACCTATTGCAGACAATATGCCATGTATACGTTAAAGGGACACTATAGTCACCCAGACCACTTCAGCTCAGTGAAGTGGTCTGGGTGCCAGGTCCCCCAGGTTTTAACTCTTCAGATGTAAACATGGCAGTTTCAGAGAAAGTGCCATGTTTACATAGCAGGGTTAATCCAACCTCTAGTGGCTGTCTTCCTGACAGCCGCTAGAGGCGCATCTGCGATGCTGTATGCGAAATTCACATCCAGCGTGCAGAACATCCGTAGGAAAGCATTGAGAAATGCTTTCCTATGGACTGTTTGAATGATTTTTATTAAAATTAAATATTAGTGGGATCGTATCTTCATGTTTGTTATCTTTCTTTTGTTGGTAATTTAACAATTCTTCTCTTTTTAATTTTCCAATTTCTTGAATTGTACTTTCAAGGTTTTCATTTTTATAGCCTTTTTCTAAAAATTGTCCTTTCAATGTAAAGGCCTGCAAGTTATATTTTTCTATTTCCGAGCAGTTCCTTCTCAGTCTAAGGAACTGACCTCTCGGAATATTGTCCAGCCAAGGTGGAAAGTGACAGCTACCCTTTTCAATAAAGCTGTTACATAGAAACATAGAATGTGACGGCAGATAAGAACCATTCGGCCCATCTAGTCTGCCCAATTTTCTAAATACTTTCATTAGTCCCTGGCCTTATCTTATATCTATGATAGACTTATGCCTATCCCACGCATGCTTAAACTCCTTCACTGTGTTAACCTCTACCACTTCAGCTGGAAGGCTATTCCATGCATCCACTACCCTCTCAGTAAAGTAATACTTCCTGATATTATTTTTAAACCTTTGTCCCTCTAATTTAAGACTATGTCCTCTTGTTGTGGTAGTTTTTTCTTCTTTTAAATATAGTCTCCTCCTTTACTGTGTTGATTCCCTTTATATATTTAAATGTTTCTATCATATCCCCCCTGTCTCGTCTTTCCTCCAAGCTATACATGTTGAGATCCTTTAACCTTTCCTGGTAAGTTTTATCCTGCAATCCATGAACCAGTTTAGTAGCCCTTCTCTGAACTCTCTTCAGCATCCCAATCAATTTCTGAAATCCGGTCTCCAGTACTGCGTCAATACTCCAATGAGGTCTACCAGTGTTCTGTACATGCTCATGTTCACTTCCCTCTGGACTACTGCAATACCTCTCCCTTACTCTCCAAGATTCTGCTATTTCCTGCTGCTCTTTCTGTCTGCCTACCTTTAAGTCTCAGAAATAATCACCCCTAAATCCCTTTCCTCAGATGTTGAGGTTAGGACTCTATCAAATATTCTGTACTCTGCCCTTGGGTTTTACGTCCAAGATGCATTATCTTGCACTTATCCACATTAAATGTCAGTTGCCACAATTCTGACCATTTTTCTAGTTTACCTAAATCATTTGCCATTTGGCTTATCCCTCCTGGAACGTCAACCCTGTTACATATCTTAGTATCATCAGCAAAAAGACATACCTTACCATCAAGACCTTCTGCAATATCACTAATAAAAATATTAAAGGGAATGGGTCCAAGTACAGATCCCTGAGGTACCCCACTGGTGACAAGTCCAAGCTTCGAATATATTCCATTAACTACAACCCTCTGTTGCCTGTCACTCAGCCACTGCCTTACCCATTCAACAATATTGGAATCCAAACTTAAAGATTGCAGTTTGTTGATAAGCCTTCTATGTGCAACAGTGTCAAAAGCCTTACTGAAATCTAGGTAAGCAATGTCTACTGCACCACCCTGATCTATAATTTTAGTTACCCAGTCAAAAAAATCAATAAGATTAGTTTGGCATGATCTCCCTGAAGTAAACCCATGTTGTCTCTGATCTTGAAATCCATGTGTTTTTAGATGTTCATCAATCCTATCCTTTAACATGGTTTCCATCACTTTCCCCACTACTGAAGTAAGGCTTACTGGCCTATAGTTGCCCGACTCCTCCCTATTGCCTTTCTTGTAAATGGGCACAACATTCGCTAACTTCCAATCTTCTGGGACTACTCCTGTTAACAATGATTGGTTAAATAAATCTGTTAATGGTTTTGCTGGTACACCACTAAGCTCTTTTAATAGCTTTGGGTGTATTCCATCAGGTCCCATTGACTTATTTGTCTTTACTTTTGACAGTTGAAATAGAACCTCTTCCTCTGTAAACTCACGTGTAATAAATGACTCATTTATCCTTTTTCTCAACTGGGGTCCCTTTCCTTCATTTTCTTCTGTAAATACAGAACAAAAATATTCATTGAGGCAGTCAGCCTGACCTTTATCCTCTTCTACATACCTTCCTTCTTTTGTTTTAATCTAACTAATCCTTGTTTTACTTTTCTTTTCTCATTTATGTATCTAAAAAATGTTTTATCCCCCTTTTTTACTGTCTGTGCTATTTTCTCTTCTGTGTGTGATTTGGAAGCTCTTATAACTTGCTTAGCCTCTTTCTGCCTAATCTTGTAGATCATTTTGTCTCCCTCACTCTGGGTTTTTTTATAATTCCTAAATGCTAACTTTTTGTTTTTAACTATTTTGGCCACATCTGCGGAGTACCACAGTGGTTTCTTGAATTTTTTGCTTTTACTGACAAACCTAATGCAATTTTCTGTTGCCTTCAATAGTGCAACTTTTAAATAATCCCATTTTTCTTGGACTCCATTTAAATTGCTCCAGTCTGATAATGACTCCTCTACCCATATCCTAATTTTAGAAAAGTCTGTTTTTCTAAAGTCTAAAACTTTTGTTTTTGTGTGGTGTGACTCAGTCGCTGTTCTTATATTAAACCACACTGACTGATGATCACTGGATCCTAAACTTTCACCTACAGTAACATCTGATACTAAATCTCCATTTGTTAACACTAAATCTAGTATGGCCTCTTTACGAGTTGGCTCCTCAACAACTTGTTTTAGAGACAAACCCAGTAGGGAGTTTAGAATTTGTGTGCTCCTGGCACAAGTAGCTAATTTTGTTTTCCAATTTACATCAGGAAGATTAAAGTCACCCATGATGATAACTTCCCCTTCATTGTCATTTTAGCTATTTCCTCAACTAGTAGATTATCTAACTCTTCAATTTGTCCTGGGGGCCTATAAATCACACCTACACGAGTTACTGTGTGATTACCAAATTCTAACGTAGCCCAAACGGACTCTATGTTTGCCTCACTAACTTTTATTAGGCTGGATTTTATGCTATCCTTCACATACAAGGCCACCCCTCCCCCTTTCTTGCCTTCCCTATCTTTCCTATATAAAGAGTACCCTGGTATTGCTATGTCCCAGTCATTTTCTCATTGTACCATGTCTCAGTAACAGCGACTAAATCTACACTATCAGTTGCCATTATTGCCACAAGTTCATGGATCTTATTCCCTAAACTGCGAGCATTTGTAGGCATGACTCTAAACTTATCCTTTTTTAACACACTTGCTACAGGCACCTTCTGTCCTTGTTTTGGGGGACAATTGGATTGATGTTTTAACACCCTTTTGCCCCCCCCTGACAACAAGGGAACGCTGTACCTTTTTGAGCTTAAAGGGACACTATATTCACCAGAACAACTACAGTTTAATGTAGTGGTTGTGATGTCTATAGACAGTCTCTACAGAGAAAAGCCAGTTTTTACATTACTGTCTAGTAACACCTCTAGTAGCAGTCAATCAGAGATGTGTTGATTCAATGCATCTCTATGAGAAGATACTAACTGGCGCATCGCAGAGTTTTGCTGCGCATGTGCCATAGCCTCCCAAAGCTTTCCTATGGGAAACCATTGGATTTACTGTGATCTTCAAATCTGATCAACTCATCCAAAGAGGCGGAGCAGGTGCAGAGCCAGCCATGATGAAAACTGCTCCGCGCTGGAAGAAATGCAAGTAAAACAGCTCTTTACTGCATGGAGTCTGGGGCATAAACAACGGTATTACAGTTATAGTGTCCAGAATACTTGTTTGTATTCCTGACTCTATAGTGTTCGTTTAAATATGCTGGTTGCAAGAGATATGTGCAAGGAACCTTGTCCAGAGTTTTCTGTATTTCAGTCAGCCTTAGTAGCGGAGCTGCAGGAATAGTTACATGGGGTGTAAACCTCAGCACTGTCCCACGTACACCAATGTCGGTTTGTTAAGCTTGACAGGAAGAGGAAGGAGACACTTCCCATCTCCCCACTAGTAACCTCTCACACAGGAAATGGCTTGCAGGAAGATCAGGGACAGTGATGCACACTGTATAACCACTCCGGCAGCTTTAATATCAATCTTAAGAGGCTGACTGGTCTACAGAAGACATAGGAGGCTCAAGACCTACGTGAAAAGAAACCATTTACCTTAATCCGATGTTTAACTGCTCTTAGAAACCAAGCCTTTCAAAAGAAACCATTTACCTTAATCCGATGTTTAACTGCTCTTAGAAACCAAGCTTGTAACCCCACTCTAGCCCTAAAGTTAGTAATCCCAAACAACCCCTCTTGAGCTATTAATCTAATGAATCACCATATGTTATCTCCCTCTGATGTTAACCCATGTCTAGCCTTAACACCCCATTACCCTAACCACTTCTAACAATATTTTTAACTCTGAATATATTTACATTACAAGTAGAAATATGCACATGCACATATCATAACATATGCAGATGTCAAACGTGAAATTATTTTTGTAGTTGTTTTTAGGCCTTCAATGTCCAGTTAATAAATTCATTCTACATATTTATATGCCTTTTAATGGGTTGGGAAACAGGGGTCAATTTTGTGCCTACAGACGTCTGACATGTAAATTGAGCTCTGTCTACTGGACAGAACATACTGTGCCTTTACAGACACTGGAGAAAA